TGAAGTACCACAGCTAGGTCATGAAGATATAAAACTACTGAATAACCCAAATTCTATTAATGAAACTGAAAACATAATAAAATCATTACCTACAAAGAAGAGCCCAGGCCCAGACGGATTCACTGAAGAATTCTACAAGAAATATAAAGAAGATCTAATGCCAACACTCCACAAACTCTTCAATGAAATGGAAAGGGAAGCAATCCTTCATAAATTGTTCCTAGAAGCAAATATTACTCTAGTATCAAAACCAGAGGAGGACCCAACTGAAAAAGAGAACTAAAGACCAGCCTCCCTAATGAAGAAGGATGCAAAAATCCTCAATAAAATTTTGGCAAATAGGATGCAGCAAATCAACAAGATCATATATCATGATGAAGGGGGATTCATCCCAGGCATGCAGAGATTGTTTAATATATGTAAATCAATAAATGTAATACACCATATCAATAGAGCCAAAAGTTATAATCACATGATCATTACTATAGATGCAGAAAAGGCTTTTGATAAGATCCAACATTCATTTATGATAAGAGCCTTGCAGAAAATTGGAATAGATGGTCCTTACCTCAATATAATTAAGGCTGGCAATGACAAAACAACACCCAGTACCATACTAAAGATCAAAAATTGAAGGCCTTTACTTTAAAATCAGGCACAAGACAAGGATGTCCCTTATCATAGCTCCTATTTAATACACTACTGGAAATACTGGGCAGAGCAATTAGACAAGAGAGAGATAAAAGGCTTAAATATAGGAAAAGAAGAAGTTAAATTATCATTATTTGCAGATAACATGATTCTTTATATAGAAGATCCCCGAAGCTCTATTGAAAGACTCCTAGATATAATAAATTCAGTAATGTAGCTGGATAGAATCAGTACTCAAAACTCAATAGCATTCCTATACACTAACAACAACGTCACAGAGACCGAAATAAGAGAGGCCACACCCTTCACACTAGCAACCAAAAAAATGAAATATTTAGGAATTACTCTCACGAAAGAAGTGAAAGACCTATACAGGGAAAATTATAACACACTGAAAAATGAAATTGAAGATGATCTCAGAAAATGGAAAGATATCCCTTCTCATGGATAGGAAGAATAAATATTGTGAAAATGGCCATTCTCCCAAAACTTTTATATAGATGCAATGCAATCCCAATAAAAATACCATCAACATACCTCATAGAACTTGAGAAATCATCCCTAAAATTCATCTGGGATGAAAAGGATCCTAGAATAGCAAGGACAGTTAGAAGCAGCAAAAGCAAGGCAGGAGGTACCACAATCCCTGACTTGAAGTTATACTACAAAGCAACTGTAGTACAATCAACATGGTACTGGAATTGAAACAGAGCCGAAGATCAGTGGAATCGATGAGGAGATACAACCACCACTACAAACACACTCAACTACCTTATCTTTGATAAATGGGCCAAACACGTTCACTGGAAGAATGACATTCTGTTTAATAAATGGTGGTGAAAAACTGGCTCTCCATATGCCTAGAACTAAAACTAGACCCATGCCTATCACCATGTACTAAAATAAAATCTAAATGGATCAAAGATCTAAATATTAAAACAGAAACACTAAATCTATGGGAAGACAAATTGGGTAAAAACCTTGAATACATAGGAGTAGGTAGAGAATTGATGAACAGGACTCAAACCGCATGGGAAATGCTTCCCAGAATCAATAACTGGGATAACCTCTTATAAAAAAGTTTCTGCACATCAAAAGAAATCTCTAGTATAGTGAAAAGAAAACCCACAAACTAGGAAAAAGTCTTAGTGAACTGCCCCTCAGACAGAGGACTTCTGTCTATAACATATAAAGTATTTTAAAAAATGAGACCACCAAAATTCAAAGAACCAATCCAAAAATGAGCATCTGAGATGAATAAACAATTTTGAGATGAAGAAATACAAATGACAAATAAATACATGAAAAATGTTCACCATCAATGGTCATTAGAGAAATGCAAATTAGAACCACACTGAGATTTTATCTCACTCCTGAAAGAATGGCCAAGATCAAGAAAACTACCAACAACACATATTAGAGATGCTGTTGGGAAAAAGGAACTCTTCTGCACTGTTTGTGGGAGTGTAGACTGGTGCAACCATTGTGGAGATCAGTGTGGAGATTTCTCAGAAAGCTGGGACTGGAAGCACCTTTTGACCCAGCTATTCTACTTCTAGGCATATTCACAGAAGAACTGAAAGCATCATTCCACAGTGATATATGTGCACCCATTTTTATAGCAGCACAGTTTGTAATAGGCAGATCTTGGAAACAACCTAAGTGTCCATCAACTGAGTAATGGATAAAAAAGTTATGGTGATTTTATACAATGGAGTACTACTCAGCTATAAAGAATGATCACATTGACATATAAATAAATAGATGCAGATTGAGACCATACTCATAAGTGAAATAAATCAAACTCACATGTATAAATACTGAATATATTCCCTAGTATAAGAAATGATAATACATAGAAGTATGTGGTAATCATGATACCCAATCATATTGGTTTGAATCCATATAATGTTTTCACTCATTATTAAGTGCAATGCAATCCTGATAAAAATACCATCAACATAACTCATAGAACTTGAGAAATCATCCCTAAAATTAATCTGGGATGAGAAGAAACCTAGAATAGCAAGGACAGTTAGAAGCAGCAAAAGCAAGGCAGGAGGTACCACAATCCCTGACTTGAAGTTATACTACAAAGCAACTGTAGTACAATCAACATGGTATTAAGTGCAGTGGTTTTACCCTGAGTTTTTCGATTTTAGTATTGGTGATAGTACGAATAGCTATTCTGAAGAAAATAACACATCATAAAAGCTAGTGCTGAATTAATATCATCTTCTTTGGAACTCCCATCAAGGTGTTGTACATGTTAACACTGGTTTTAACATGTTGTAACTTAATATATTTTACTGTATGTGATAGTATAAATAAAAATTTTCACAGACAAAGAGATAATATAGAAATTGTTGTCCATTTTCTGTTAACTGGCTCTAAATACTCTGTAATTCTTTCATTCTCTTGAATGGCTTCACAGTGTCTTGATATGATTGATTCTATAGTATACGACATTATACTCAAACAATTCAAGGAAAGAGGCACTATGGTGACTAATATTATGTTAGATTATCTGGTGGTGAAACAAAATGCTTTAATTGTGCAGTTCTGACCTGTGTTGTTCTATGACAATGTCTCTTTTATCTCGATCTCCACCCTTTTAAAAAAATTATTCTATGTTTTCTTATTTTTTTCAATTAAAATAAAACTAAATTAAAAAATAGTGGGATATATTATAGTAACTTTTTGTTTTCCTATTAGCCTGATTTTAATCCCAGTATTGCTCTCCCCATCTTGTTCTGCCTGATTTTACTATATTCTATTTTGTTTGATAGTATCAAGTTTGAGGGTATAGGCAACCACTTTGTAGGCAATAAGATTTACTATGATGCCCATTATGGTTTGACTATTATCTTCTTTTGAAATCCTGTAAGGTCTCCAGTGTAGATTTTATTGGTCTTGTTCTGTACAGTTTTGATCAATTCTATTATACCTGATGATATAGCAACTTTTTTTAAAAAATAGCAAGAGGCACAATGGTAACCATTTTTGATCACCTGATATTCTATTTTTGCATCAAGTACTATGCCCATCCTTATGTTCTAACCAACTCTGTTTTTTTTAACTCACTTGAGGTTTTATTCTCTTCAAAAAAAGTAATAAGAACTATGGGAGTAAAAAAACCCCAAAAGTGTAAATGTAATTGTGAAGAAGAGAGGAAAGGAAGGTAGTCTAAGAGATATAATTGCCTGTTTGAGTGTGTAGGAAGGAAAACCATATTACTGACCTTTGTTGGTTCATTGAATGCAACTGTCTAGAATCTCACTGTAGGAATGTTCACTTTATATGCTTTAATTTTATAATTTGGAAAACTGTTTCTAAGAAGACAATATGTAATCTATTAACTAGTGATTTCTTACTGTATTTTTTTCTTGAAATTCTGTATGATTTGTACCCTTTTACTGGTTTGTTTTTTATGTTTTTTTTTCTCTTTAAATAAAAAAAAATTAAACCTGGAATTTATATCTTTTTTTTTTTTTTTGGTACTGGGGATCAAACTGATTACCTAACCCTTGCCAGGCAGGGGCTTAAGCCACTGAGCTAAATCCCCAGCCCCCCAATATATATCTTTCACATCTTATCATCTTCAGAGTAGTTGCCTCTACTCTTGGACTTGATACCAGCAAGCATACCAAATGGGAATAAAATCAGTCAAGGCCAAATAACATTCAAACAAACCTGCTTCCAATCAGATCAGTCATAGTAAGACAATGTAAGTAATAGGGATTCAGTTTTAGTTAATAGGAAATTAAGGACAGTTACCACCATGGTATAACCTGCTATTTTTGGGTTACCTCTCTGTGCCCTCAAATCTAATATGAGTAGACAGACCAGAACAAAATATAATCAAACTAAACAGAGCAACAGAACTACTGTAGCTTTTAAATCCTGATACACTTTTAACAATGTCCTCTGCCTTCTTTTTTTAGGCAATTCCTCACCTTTCTCCTTTTCAGGATACTATTATTCACTGTTCAGAGGGATATTAGTTTAGTCTCTTATGTTCAGTTTCAGCATACATAAAAATAAAGAGGTCTACTATGAAGAGAATGAGATACATTATGGTAATCATTATCAACTTCCCCAACATCAGTCTTGAAGATCAAAAAAGCCTGCATCATCCTGTAATTATTTGATTAGTTCTATAATGTTCAGTATATATTCAATGAATGTGAAGATGGAAACAACTATTTGGAAGACAACTAGAGACATTAAGATAGAAAATGAACATCTCAGTGGACTTGCTTTGAAACCTGTTTCCTTAACTTGTTTCCTTATGAACTGTTCTGTTTTGTCATATTTAATCTTACCATCTTTAAGATAAAGAAGTTTGTAGAACAGATAAGCATATTAATAAGTTTTTTTTTGGATCACTGAGGTAAATTGTTCGCAGTGTCATTATTTGAATATCACTTTGTATGCTTTAATTTTGTAACTTGAACAATTACCTCTAAGATGACAATATGTAATTAATCAACTAGTGATTTCTTATTGTTTATTTTTCAGAAATTCTGTATTATTTCTACACTTTTTGGTTTTTTTCTTTAAATAAAAATTCACCAAAAATATGAGAATTAAGTTTTAAAAACAAATATTAAGTACATAGACACTATCCATACTTGAAAGTGAAAAGCCCATTTCAGTTTAACATGTTTAATTACAAGATGCCATGTTGAAGCACAAAGACACATTAAAAAATCTAAAGAGGTATAAGTGATTAACTGAAACCCATACAAAATGTGTACTTGAGTAGAGCTCCACTTCAGATTTGTCATTTCTGGAAAATTCGTGAAGAAATATTGACATTAAACTTCTGTATTCATTATTTCTTCAGGTCTACTTGGAATTTTTAAAATAAACTTAGATCTAAACTATCTGAAGAGTGCTGCTTTTTCTATGTATTTAACAACAAACATGGATTGCCATATGTTCCACACTGTTAATACACATAGGATCCAGTGAGCTCTTTCAGGTATGTAACAATGATCATGTGTGCTGAGAGTATTCCCATAACACATAGGATTTATCTCTTGTGTGAGTTTCTTCATGTATTTCACTTACAATTTGGATGCTGAAAGTGTCTCCACTTGCTTACATAGCCAGTGATTAATCCCAGTGTGAATTGTTTCATCTGTTTTGCAATGACTGTATGTGGTAAAAGCTTTGCCACATTGTTATATGCATAGGGTTTCTCGACCAGTGTGGAGTCATTGATGTATTTTACAAAATCCATGTGTTGTGAAAGCTTTCCCACATTCTTCACATAAACAGAGTTTCTCAACAGTGTAAATTTTTTCATGTATTGGCCAATGAGCATTTCTGCTGAAACCTTTCCCACATTCCTTACATATATAAGTTTTCTGCACAGTGTGAAGTTTTTCATACATTATGCAATATGTAATTGAGGTCAAAAAATTCTCATGATGCTTATATACACTGGTTTTATCTTGAATATGAACTTTCATGTTGCTTACAATGTCCATGTTGGGTAAAAGCTTTCCCACATTGCTTACATATATAGGTTTTCTCTCCAGTGTGAATTCTTTCATGTTTCTTACAACGTCCAGGTCTGTTAAAAGCTTTCCCACATTGTTTACATATATATGGTTTCTCGCCAGTGTGAATTCTTTCATGTTCCTTACAACGTCCAGGTCTGATAAAAGCTTTCCCACATTGCTTACATATATATGGTTTCTCACCAGTGTGAATTCTTTCATGTTTCTTACAATCTCCCCATGTGTTAAAAGCTTTCCCACATTCCTTACATACATAGGGTTTCTCTCCAGTGTGAATTCTTTCATGTTTCTTACAATCTCCCCGTGTGTTAAAAGCTTTCCCACATTCCTTACATACATAGGGTTTCTCTCCAGTGTGAATTCTTTCATGGTTCTTACAATTTCCCCGTGTGTTAAAGGCTTTCCCACATTGCTTACATATATATGGTTTCACTCCAGTGTGAATTATTTCATGTGCCTTACAATATCCATGCGTGATAAAAGCTTTCCCACATTGCTTACATACATAGGGTTTCACTCCAGTGTGAATTCTTTCATGTATTTTACAACTTGACTGTGTGGTAAAAGCTTCGCCACACTGCTTACATACATAGGGTTTCTCTCCAGTGTGAATTCTTTCATGTTTCTTACAATGTCCATGTGTGATAAAAGCTTTCCCACATTGCTTACATACATAGGGTTTCTCTCCAGTGTGAATTCTTTCATGTTTCTTACAATCTCCCCGTGTGTTAAAAGCTTTGCCACATTGCTTACATACATAGGGTTTCACTCCAGTGTGAATTCTTTCATGTTGCTTATAATAGTTATGTCGGGTAAAAGCTTTCCCACATTGCTTACATACATATGGTTTCACTCCAGTGTGAATTATTTCATGTGCCTTACACTGTCCACGTGTGATAAAAGCTTTGCCACATTGCTTACATATATAGGGTTTCTCTCCAGTGTGAATTCTTTCATGTTTCTTAAAATATCCCCTTGTGTTAAAAGCTTTCCCACATTCCTTACATACATAGGGTTTCTCTCCAGTGTGAATTCTTTCGTGTTTCTTACAATCTCCCCATGTGTTAAAAGCTTTCCCACATTGCTTACATATATATGGTTTCTCCCCAGTGTGAATTCTTTCATGTTGCTTACAATTTTGATGTCGGGTAAAACCTTTCCCACATTCCTTACATACATAGGGTTTCTCTCCAGTGTGAATTCTTTCATGTTTCTTAAAATATCCCCATGTGTTAAAAGCCTTCCCACATTTCTTACATACATAAGTTTTCTCTCCAGTGTGAAGTATGTCATGTTGCTTACAATATCCAGATTTGGTGAACCCTTTTCCACATTGCTGACATACATAGGGTTTCTCTCCACTGCAATATTTTTCATGGATCTGAATATTGTGGTGTGTTTCTGCTTCTTTCACATTCACATTACCTTCTGCAGTACAAGGGAATACTTCGTTACACTGATTCCAAGATGTATGTCCATAGGATTTCCCTAGCTTGTCATTTCTGTAAAAAAAAAAAAATCACATATTGGATTGATAACCATATTACTAAGTTTTTATTGGAGATTTGAACAAAACTGTTTGCAGTCTCGCTGTTTGAATCCCCACTTCATATGTTTCACTTTTGTATTTCATTAACTATTTCTATGAGCAGCATATGTAATCACTGTCTTTAGATTTCTTACTGTTTATTTTCACTTTGAAAGTGGTATCATTTCTACTTATTTTGGTTTTTTTTAGTCTTTTCTTACATTAAATAAAAAAGAAACACTCACAGTGAAATGGGTCTCCATTTTATGACTGCATTAATGTCAAGATCTGTTTTTAATGCCTGCTAAGAAATTCTGACCGTGAAGTAACAGAATGGCCTTATAAGACATGTTGAAAACAACCATTCCCAAAAGACTGGTACACATTTGGAAATCTTAAAATTTGGTACCTTTTGAAATGCAGAATCTTTATCTTCACTTTGGGCATGGGTACATATGTGTATCACATACAGCTCATTCTGATATGTTTCCCCATCACAATCTCCCTTCTGTCCTTAACCTGCAGTTTGCTTTTCCATATGGTCACTCTTACTTTTCTCTATTAACTCTTTCATTTCATTCCACAATTTATATTTTGGTTTCTCATCTAAAAGGTACCCTGTGAACTTTTAGGTTTTATAGCTGAGCTATTTCACCGAATTGATGGGAGAAAGAACCACCTATTTCTTATGGCAAATGACATTATATTATTTATTTTTTGACATTATATAAGACATTTTTTTCTTTTCCATGCTGGGAATGAACAACAGCTATTAGCATAAAATCTATAGCTTTTTAAATGTGTTTAAGAGATTTTCACTGATCATTAAGCCGTGAAGTTTGAACTTGAATTTGCCATTCTGCAAAATCTGATTCTTAGTGTGCTGGATTTACAAGAATGCACAATCACAGAGAGTCCATTAACATTTTCCTTCTCCACAAATCCAGTGATAGATAGCTAAGCTTCTTCAAGGTCTGATCTATGATAACTTGATCTGCTTTGTAAATGAGTAAGCATGTACCAGTATTTTATGTGCATCTTGAATTTTTAAAAATATATCCAGGACAAGTATGAGGGGATCAATTTCTAGAGACAACTGCACACTGATATTCAGAATGAGTGCACTTAACATTCCACCAGCCTTCTAAGAATTTTAGTCAGAATGGCTGATTCTTTAGAGAATGGCTTAGAAACACAAGAACTCCATTTTATTTCAAATTCTATTACAATCTTAGTAATGTTTAGATGATGAATGTGTTGTATTCACATGTATATATGGGTAGAAAAACTGAAGGGAGAATGTTATAACTCCTTATACATCTTCGGAGAATATTACTGACAATAAATTGAATGGTGCCTCATTTCTTTGGTGGTATTTTTCTGCTGACTCACTAATTACTCAGGAACATTCCTTCTCATTATGAGTGCGAATTACCTTAAGTATCTCCAATAAATTTTGCATTCTTTTTCAGGTTCCTGGATATTCCCAAGTCCTCCTGAATTGTAGATATAGAAATACCAGCGCTCATTAGAATAATACATACAAATTAATAGATTTTGTTTAGAGTTATGATATAATGTGTCCAGGTCTGAGTTATTTTTAAAAATATATTCACATTGTGTTTAATGAAACAGCACTGATGTGTGACATACAACATTCTGACAGCATGAGTGACAAAAGTGTTTTTTCCTTACCTATTGCAGTCATGTTCCTAAAGGTTTCGCCCATCACATCTCTGTAGAGGTTCTTTTGGGATGGACTCAGCAAAGTCCACTCCTCATGGCTGAAGTTCACAACCACATCCTCAAAGGTCACCACCTCCTAAAGGACGACACATATATTTCTCACATGAATGTTGAGACACCAGGTTTGGGATATCTTAAATTCTCTCCTACAAATCTGAATCAAAAGCAAAGTGTGGTGGTATATATCTATAATGCCAGCACTCAAAAGGCTGAGGCAGGATGGTTTCAGTGAGTTCAGGGCAATTCTAGGCTCCATAGGGTATTCAAATCCAGCTGATATACATATAGAAAGCTTCTCTCAATAAAACAAAACAAAACTAAACAAATACAACCAAACAAAACAGCTGAATGAAGACTGCTGTCTTCAAATTTAAATCCATGTCTTGGTCATTAATTTTGTATATATACACATTTTTGAAGACAGCAAATTTGATGATAGATTGCAACTCACTGCTATTGTAAGAGTGAAATTGGAGCACTGATTCTTGTGCTGAGTCACTGCAATATTCCCTGTGTACTGTCTCTAATGCAGAGCTCACAGTGAGAAGCCTGCAGGACCAGCATCCACAAAGCACAGAGACAGATAAATATCCCATCAATCAACTGGGAAGCCAAGCAAGCACCTCCCTTCCCTGGTAAGTGGTGGCAATGTGGCAGAATGTGGCCCTTCCAGGGGAGAACCAGCAGCAGCTCCTGAGATCCATGCAATGTGGGAACTTAGGAAGCTGTGAAACCAAACAACCGGCCTGTCTTCCTACAAAGCAATAGTGAACCTACTGACGCACGGCCTAGAATCAAACAACCCACTTCCCTACTCCTCTTCTCCTGTCACCCCCCATTAGGAAATGGGGAACAGAAATCTGAGTGTCTCCTGGGAAGCAGACCATAACAAATAAGGGGAAATTCCTTCTACTATCTCTTTGAAGTCAAATATTTTTATTACTGTTTTACTCTATTCTGATTAATGGTATTGCTCTATTCAAAATTGTTTTGATAAGTACTATAATGTTCTGTATTTTATCTCATTTTGATATATGTGTTTGAAAGAACAACTATTATAAAGATAATAAAATATACTGTGATACCTATTATTGTTATCGCAGTAACCTTTTGTGAAGTTGTGTACCAATTTCACTGTATGATCTTAGTTGGCCTTATTCTGCATTTTTCTGTTTTCTTTTACCACTTTCAAAATTTGAAAAAAGGAAAAAAAATCTCATCAATCACGTTGATAGGCTGCAGATAATGTCTCTTCAAATCTCATTTAGGCCAGTGAGTACTTTGTTCTTAATATACTTCAGCAGCATTTTGAAACATGAATTTGGTTTCATAGAACAAAACATAAATAATCTCCAATATGGTACACAAATAATAACTCAAATGTTAGTGGAAAATGCTGTTTTTAAAAAATAAGTATATAAAATGGAACCAGGCCCAAGCTGTAATATATAGCTCACTGTCACCAAGCGATCACTTTCAATTCAGATATAAGGAATATATCTTGAGAGGCTGATGAAGGACTTCTTCCTTGAATTTGGGACTATCCTAAGTTACAGAGCTGTCTAAAGTAGAGAAACCACACAGACAAAGACTGAGACACCCCACAGACAAAGTGAAACTTGAAAAGAGACTGCATAAGACACCTTTAGTTTGTTTTTAAAAATTATAGCCATACAATATGGAAAAATTCCAACAATATTCAACACTTTATGAGAAACAATGTGGATATCTTCCATACAACAAAGAGAAAGTTGGGTATTTAGCTCAGTGGCATGAACAACTGCCTGGAAAGCATAGGTCATGAGTTTGATCCTTGGTACAAAAAAAATGCACATTTTACCTTCATGACACTGGGGGCATAATTAGAGATAATCCAAATTAGATCTCAAGTATGGAACACAAAATTCATGGGTTGACAAGGATGTGAAATACTGATTGTTGCCAGAGCTGGTGTTGATCACCTCCAGGAAGCAATCAGAACCCAACTTTAACTTTACACTTACTCTAAGAACTACCTGAATTTCAGTGAAGACCCTCTCTGTTGTATGTCCTGCTATTGGCTTCCTGAATTCTGTCAGTCACTTGCACATCCTTTCCACACTCCTCTGATCCATCCTCAGCAGGAAACCCGTCATGCCTAACTATTGATATCACTGCAAAATTTCTGTTTAGAGCTTCTTCTTTACACCATTTCATAAATTCCATTGCAGAGCATTTCCATATTTAAACTGTCTATGAACAACCAAGACACTAAATCAGCTCTTAATTCAGAGATGACACACCTATTCCTTTCCATTCAGAAGGATATCACGTGTATATGTGCATGCAAATGCCTGAATTTCAGTATTTTTTGAAGATAATTTAACAGGTAGCCCTTTCTGGAATTCGTCCTTCACAAATTTTTTCCCTGTCCTTGATAACACTTTCATATTTGCTTCATTTTTCTCAGACTTCAAAACTCTATGGCTGTGCTCACAAACCTAGTCTGTGAGCAAGGGTGCCACCTAAATAATTAAGTATGTTCAGAAATTATTTTGCACTGATCTGTATAATACACAGGAGTTCATGAGTTGTTTGGGAAGCCTTTTTCCACTGAGGCACACTACTACACATCTCTGAATTCTCAGAACATTTGCAACTACCTGTCATGAGGATGGAAATATGAGAACATACTATAAATTGAGGAGATCACTATAAATACAAAAAAGCCCAAGTTTAAGTTGAACCATTGTTGCAATGAGGCCCTGCATTACAGACATTAATAAACTTTGGACATTCCAGATCTTCTACTCTGAGAATAGAGAGCAGAGACCTAGCTCATTACTGCTCTACAAGCTATAAAAAGCATCATAGGATCTTCTCAAGCTTCTTCCAATGCCTAAGTTTGTGGAGTTTCTAGGCCAGCAGTGAATTCCAAAGATGATACTTGATTCTGCTGCTGTAATAATGAAGCTAGAGTTCTGGGGACACCAAATCACCCTTGCCAACAGCAAGAGGCAAAAGGGCGAGTGAATGACCCATGGGCAATGCTGGAGGACCTCAGGAGCTGAAGCTAACTAAATACCTGAGGCTCCAGACACAGGAATTACTTCTACATACTTGTAACTGGTTTCACCGAATCCACCCTAACTCTGGGCTCCCATCCACAACCTCACCATTTCATGGCTCCAGGATCCCTCAGGTTTTTGCAAATCAGGCCACAGGACATCGAAAGTACTAAATGAGATGCAGCAAGCATTTTGCTACCAGTATCGGACTCAGAAAAGGTAAATCATGCTGAGACACCAGAAGAGACAAAAGTCACAGCTAGCAATGGCCTGAAAACTGGACAGCTCACATAGCCTGCCCCTTCATCACTGATTGAATCCTGCTCTACTGCTCTCCTTCTGAGTCAAGAATCAACAGGGAAAGAAAACCCTCCCTGCAAGAGAGGATCTCAAATGATAGACTGTAGTGCAGAGACTTCTGGAGCTGCCATTCTTCTACAGTGGTGATCTCAGCTTGACCAGAGGAGTGTTTGTACTGAAGAGCTTTACCTCAGGCTTTTAATTTTCAAATCCATTCTATTTCAGTGAAAAAAGAACACATCAACTAAAATTAAATTTAAAAACATGTCAATCAGGGGGCAACACTGGAATATACACTGCACACTGTAATCCCCAGATCATTCATCCACAGCACAAGACATCTGTAATCAATTATCCAAAGAGTACTGTTACAGGCACCTGAGTTATTTAAATAGTATTGGCATAAGGCAGGGCTAGGTCCTCCAAGGATTCCATGCAGGAGACCAGATACTGTATAACTATGGGGAAGACTGACACCTCATGCTATGGGCCAAGTCTCAAGACAAATGATAATCAAATTCATCCATATCATAAAGACTGATATTCTAAATAGTCCCATAGCACTCTGAGGAGGTCAGGAGTCACCATTCAAAGAAAAGTATGCTTATCGTAAGGACTGACATTTTAAATATTTCCTATCATCCTGATGAACTCAGGAGTCACCCTCCCAAAAACCTAAGGGAAAAGTCAGTGCTGCCTAAGAATGCCTGCTTTCTATGTGACTCCCTTTCCCCCTTTTTCCCAATTTAATCAACTTTACATGAACTTATAATCTTATTGGCTACCATAGCTCTGTCCCGTATTATGCCCATCTGGATAATAAGTTCCAATTTTTCCCCACCTTAAACTCATCTCACCACATGATTTTACTCTATAAAGGTCCCTAGAAGGACAGTGTTTGGCATCCCGCTCAGGACCCCTTCTCTCTCTCAGGTAGCTTTCTTTCTCTCAATAAGTATATTGTGCTCTTAATTTCTGTTGTTCCTAAAATTCATTCTTTGACTTTAGAGAACACAAACTCATACCAGACATATTAGACCAGGAGATTCATTACTCTATAGGAATATCAGTATAAATTTTTCTCTTTCCTGAAGTCAGATAAATCAGTAGTAGTTTGTATTCTACAATGTTGATCTCACCTTTCCAGGGATGCTTGCACTGAAGGGTTTTATCACTGACTTTAAGTGCTACTTTTGTTTTCTGAAAGTGAAATGATCTGTCATTTTGGTTATGGTATCTACAATGCATTAAGGAAATGACTAACAGTATTTCTTATGAATGGTTTACTACCAGCCATAGAGGAAGACAGGTGGCAAAACTTCATTGTTTTGATTTCTTCCTTGAAACTGAAGGTTGTACTTGAAAGTGTTTTGCCCTAGAAACAATTACAGAACCTCATGGTGGTAGTTCAAGGTGGAAGAAGGCAAAATCAGGGATGCTTACTCATATGGCCACTCCCTCTTTTTTCCTTGATTACAACTTCCTCTTTCTTTCCCAGGGCCCTAAAGAAAATTCCCATCAGCTCCTTGCATCACATCAATGTCCCCTCCAAGCACCACATCCACTCAAAAGTCACATATACCTCTGTTGTACTCTAGAGAAATAGCTTCGTTATTTTTGTATCATAGTAATACCTGTAACTTGGCCTTTCTGTATATGTGTTTTTCCCTTCCCCCTCTGGATGACCTAATTAATATGTTAATCAATGCTCTCCTGTGTAAAGAATTGT